CAGCACAATGCAGGTTTGGTTTTACTGGCTTAGGTACCATAGGGCAGAATTGAGCCTTCAGGAGTTTTCACTGTGTTGTTTGCAAGGGCATAGATATCTTCACATGATTCACTTGGATTTGGGGGCCTCCAGAGGTCCTTTCCARCCTCAGCCATTCTGTGTTCTGTGATTTCTGTGGTGGTTATGCACAGTAATTTTTGTTAATTCTTCTTATGCTGTAATATTTTACTATGTCTGTTGCAAAATATTATTTCGTGATCTTGAAAATTAGATTTTTCTAAGACATATGAATTATTCAGGATAAAGTTCAGGCATACCACTCTATCACCCTTTGCTTTCCTGAGTCAAAAAGCTCTAAAATAAATTAAGAGCATATTCTAAATCTACAGATTATTGCATGGAAAACAATTTATGTTTTTTAAATGTACTGAAAACATGATCCAACAAATTCATCAGGGATAAATTTTTTCCCTGCTTCTGATTTGTTTTTTCATTGCAAGTCAAGCCTTTTGAGTGCTCTAAAAATTGTAATCCGACRTCATAATTTCAAAGTTTTATAAAGCCATTCCTTATAAAAACCTTCCATATGTTCCCTCATAAAAAATTATGAAGTAATGTGGTCTAGGAAGGATAAATCAATAAAATCACAYGAGAGAAAAGTCGACCAGTTCTCAGTAGTTTCCGTAATGGATATATTATAAATAATTTTGGAAAAAATGCTCTAACCCTTCTTCTCACTTCCCCAAGGAAACACTAGTAACAATAAAAATCAGGTTTTATTTCAGAATGGGAAGTGCTGATAACAGAAGTCAGTCTTCTCTCAGACATTCAGAGATAAAACTGGATAATTCCACTATGCAGAAGYAGGAAAACGCTTTCTGAGTTCTGTCCTCCAGTGTTTCGCTCACTTCTCCGACACCTTCATCTGCAGAATTCCTAAGAACTTTCTCTTTGTTGGGTTTTACRCAAGACGCATCAAGACAAGTGTCTATATAGAAACAAATAACAATGTACMTTAAGTACATTAAGTACACCACCTGTGCATATTTCCTTCTTTTTCCAAACCAAAACCTGTGGGGAAAGAACAACTAACAAAAGTCATTTGACGGTGCCAGTATAGAGATGGTGCTAGTAAAAACAGAAGATATTGTGAGCTGTGTAGAACTTCCCATCGCAGTTTATTGAATTAAGCAGCCAAAGAGCTACTTTTGAATCTGTAGCTGTTGGGTGCTCAGAAGTACAGGGCACATGAAATGGCCAGTTCCACCTGCAGGAAGGATTGAATCAGTTTGAAGTGCAGTAAATCAGAAAAACCAGCAGTGACAAGGAARAGGGCAAAGTTTTGTCCCTGGTGCAGGACCATGGGATGTGGTGTGGGAGCAGTGGCTCTTCCTCCTGGCTGGCCATGCTGTGCCCCTGCAGTGGCAATAAATGTGTGTGAATTAATTCATGGCTGTGCTCTGGAGCTGAACTAATCCTGGGGAGTTCCTTTGCCCAGCCACCCACTCCTGCCCTTCTGCTCAGTGGGATAATTATGCTGCTAAACCCATGCCAGTTTAGGATGCTATACCAGTGATTTCCCTATCAAATTCTACAATTTGTGGGATGATATTCCCCCTGGAGCAAGGGCTGAAGGTGGAAAGCAGGCTAATTGATTCAGCAGTCCCGCACCACCTCTGAGCACAGGCACTTAGCTGTAATTATTGTGAAACTGAAGAATTTACAGTGAGTTATAAGCTGGTATCACAGGACTCAGAAAGTGGTGGATACTTCATGAACTGTCAGCTATTTTGAGTGTTGCCATATATTTCTACAGTTTCAATGCCCTTTTCCAACTAAAACCTGTAACTAAAGCAGTTTCCCGTGTTAAGGTGACACAGYGTTCATTGCATGTAACTATGGAGAAGCAGGGAGATGTTGGCRTTTTTCCCTCAGTAAATCCATGGCTGTAACCTGCTAAATAACAGCTGCATTTGAGGGCACTGAAGAATCATGGTTTAATAGTCTTGTCTCTTTTTCCCAGTTTAGAATCTTGTACTAAAAGATCTTCCCATTAGTCTGAGTGCACCCATTGCAAAAATGAGTGTCCATTTTTTCAGAAAACAACAGAACTGGTGGAAAGCACGAGTCTGACGTGCACTGGCAGAATGGCATTTCTCAAGAAATCTGGTTAACTAGATGGCCTCCAGSGGTCCCTTCCAACCTTACACATTCTGTGATTCTGTGATTCTATGTGATGCTTTCAAATATTTCAATAATGTTTAAGCAAACAAGTAAAATATTCGAGTAAACTTCTAAATTCTTATCAAAGCTCTGTCCATCTGGTGGTGATTGTTATGGCTTAACAAGAATTAATTTGCTTTACATGCCGTGATTATCACCTTTCCAATATAAAGTCATCTAATCAAGTCTCAAAGCCTTTTCACTTCATTGTGCAGGTGATTAAAAAAAATCACCTGTCTGTTTATCCTGGGGCTATATTTTTATTTAGGACATGTTTGTTTTAGATGGATGAACTTTTAACCTCTCATTTTGCCTGCATTYTTTTTTTGTTGGTGGTGGATACTGCTTGGGGCTGAATGTTATCAACCTTGTCCTTTTCAGAAGCTGTTTGTGGACTTGTAGAAGAGACTAAATGAGGTCCTGTCATTGTRACTCTGTGTTCTGCTTAGTCAGAGACACTTCTGAGGGGACACGAGAGTGTTTGGATGGGATTCAGTTGCCTAAAATGACACTCAGTCCCTACTCTTAAATCTCCAACTGCTACTTGGCCTCTTAGTGCCCCTTTCAGAGTGTAAATCTCCTGMAGATCATGTCATGTCTGCCTTTCAGTTGGGAACACTGCAGATTTTTTAGAGCATCTCAAATGACAGAAAGCATTTACACTTAAGCAACTGAATCCTATCCTAACTTTTGAATGTGAGGGAAAAACATTTATTTATATGTATTCTTTTAGTTACTTGCTGCTTATAAATCCCAGCAATTTTAGACCTCTAAGTCTCTTCTCACTATTCACAGATTTAACTGCTCTAAAATTTGCTGCTTGCTTTTTATTTCTGAATATATACATTAAGTGAAATAAATTTGAGGTTGTCTTCATTACTTTCTGTAATACAGTAACGTATTGTAAGACTGCTAGGGAACTGGAGTYATTTACCATTTAACAGCATTTAAATAGAGGAAAATGTCAGTGGTGAAGCTCAAGCTGTTTGGCTTTTCTGAAGGTCTGTACATATGGTGTGTGACTCAGTGGCTGTAMTTTATGGTTGGTAAAATTCATATTTTGAAACACAGAAGGAATGCTCTATCTGGGAAGTATTCGTATCTTCATTATTTAGCCTTTATGTTTTAGGATGCTGTTTAGTACCAAACATCTTGGAGTTAATGGAAGAATTTCCATTTTAAAATCAAATTTCTGTGTACTGCATTCTGTACCGTCTGTCCACAATGACCTTCGCAAATATTTTAAAGTGGAAGCCATGAAATTTGGAAACACTTTTAGAAGAATACCAACCATGTCTCTSGAGTGTCCAGAGGGAAAACTTATCTGTAGCCATCAGAAATARAAGTACTGCATCTAGATCATTAATTAAAATCATTCTTTTTCTACAGACTGCAGCATGTCTAATTAGCAAATTTAAAGGACAAGTAGATTAAGGAGAAGCAATAGAACTCTTGCTTGAAAATAAAAGTAAAAAACTGAAGTCTCTCTTAGGCTATGTTAAGTTCAGCAAGTAAATGTGTGTTTTGAGGGTAAATTTTCCTCACTGTATTTTTATCAGTGGAAAAAAAAAATCCAAACAGTTGAGGACCATTTATTTTTCTCATTGTGTATAAAGATCAAGATGCTTTCTGTCTCTTCAAAGAACAAATATGAAATACCTGCAAGATGAGGAAAACAAATTTGCCATCACCTAAATTTTTGGATGGATGCTTACTTGATGCAGTTGCAAAAATATACAGATTATTCTGATTGTTAGTTTAGATTTATTGCCAGGTGGGAGAACCGTGACTCTGTGCTTTTAAGTGAGATGTGCAGAGCTGTCATTTCAGATCCATCTTTGATRCTGGCACTCACTGAGCAATAACATGAGGAAGTTGAAATGATCTCTGTAGATCTGKGTGCAAATGCTGAAAGTTGAAACAGTGGATCAAATGCTAAAACATCTTTATTTCTCACCAGTACAGGAGATATGTCACAAGTATTTATTTTAAAAGAGGGGGATGAGATAATCATTGTTTCCAGAAATAAAACTCTACTTAGAGGCAATGAGAAGAACACACCATTTACTGTGTTGAAAGGACGAAATGCGTTGAGCTTCTGGTGAGAGGAAAGGAGAAAGGGGCCATGTCCAGGTTGTCTAGAATCAAAAGGTTACAAATATATGAAAAATATAAAAAAAGCTAAAAATCCTTGGGCATCATTCATACCCCTGGTTTTTACCTGTATCAATATATTGACAGATGTTGGGAGGTGGGACAGAAGCTCTGACTGATGGAGCTGCCTTGACACAAAATTCAGTATCGGAGCTGCWAATTCTGGTTCCCCTTTGCTCCCTGCCTGACATGACTTTTGTCAGGTGGCTTTAAAATACTACTGTAAAACAGTTTTGCTGGTCTAACTTCACCTCTACTGGCCTGTCTTTGATATGAACACAAAACTGTAAAATGCCTGCATGGTGGAGTCATTTGGAATGCATTCTGAGTATCYCACAGGTGCAATTTGCTGTTGAAATAGCAATTTTTTCTATTCCTCCTCAAAGTACTGGAATTCTCCATTTGGAAACCTTGCAGAAAACCTTTTTCTGGTTAAAGCTGTGTATTGTATGATTTGGCTGAAAAGCAAAAAAAGGCTTTTAACTGCTTTTGATGAGATCTGTTCCAGTGAAACCACTGTTAACTCTGCAGAGATTTGGTTGTTCTTTCTTTAACCAGTCAACTTCTTTTGTCAGCCAGAGAACAAAACATTTGATTAATGATCATTTTTATTTCTTTGAAAGGATCCTTTCCGACCATTGGGGTGAAGTCTCTTTCGAGATTCCTGAGGGCGGGATTTTTAAATAGCATCCTGGCCTCACATCCCGTGGCAGGGGGTGGATCTTTACCCCCCAGCATTTCCWCTGGTAGGTATTCCAGCCTGTTCCCACACATCAGTCTTTTTCCTTCACTCTCTGCCCCATCCCTCTGCACATCTTCAGGGAAAGAATATTTGGTGTTGGTCAGACAGGGAGATCAGATGTCCCTTCCAAAAGGAAAGACAAACCAAAAGGAAATGGAAAAGACAATTTTTTGGGAACTAGTCATTTTCCTGAATCAATGTAGAGGAGAAATTGTGAGGGAAACTGGTCTGTAGTGAGTGGCCAATCTAAATATTGGAAGAGAAGCCTGGTATCCTCTAATCATCCATTTCATTAAGCATGTCCATGTGCACCAAAGAAAGACAACTTTAAAAATGCCACTATAAAACCTTGGAATATGTGGGACTCTGTTACTCTTCCCTAAAAATTTGTATTCCCTTGCTAAAACACAGAAGTAAAATTAATTTGGAAAGGGAAAACTTAATGATGTATTAATTTTGTGTTTGAATCCTTTGCATATGCTTTGGTAACTGCAACTTGTATCCCATGAAAACCACCTTTTTTTTTTTTTTTTTTTTTTTTTTTTTTTTTTTTTTTTTTTTTCTTTAAATAGCTTTTGCCATTATTTTAACTCCTTTAATTCTCTTTAAATGAGTGACGACGTTAGAATCATCCTTTCCAAGACAGGCTGTATGTGTTTTCCATTCTCTTCTAGAGCTATTAAATACCATCCTCCATCAAAATAAATGAAAAATAAATACATATATSATAACTATAGGTAAAACTGAATCAAAGTTCAGTTTTGTTCCTTTCCAAACTACCTATTTCTGTGTAAAAATGARTCCATGCATGGGTTAATGTCAGACTGGTATCTTTTCTGGACATCCTGCATTGACTGTAGTATTACTTAAAGGTTTTTCTTGAAGAAAAGGAAACCTCTTAGGGTAAAAAAAAAAAGGGAGAAAAAAGAAAAAGTACATAATGTTATTGACTTGCTATACAAAAGAAGTATATTGTACCTCTCTGTGCCCCATTTTATCTACTGCAATAATTCTAATTACAGGATGGTTCTTCCTTTTTATTTCAAATGCTATTATTTCTCTGTTTGCTTTCTTTGAATAGAAACTTCTCAGCAGCTTTCATGTCTTTTCTTATGATTGTTTGGGTTTCTTTTGTTGATGATTTGTGAAATACTTTCCATATTTTTTTCTCCATGGGATATCTCAGAGTGTTTAATAGCCCTTAGGTGTCTGTAAGCAAACACTTCTGTCAAAGAGGAACTCCTCCAGGCCCCATAAAATTCTCTGTTTTGAGCACATTGTTATGTAGAGCACCCCACTAATTTTATTAAATTACAAATGGCCTCAAATTCATGAACTGGCTTCTCAACTACCTACCCACCTGCAATTTTGTAAGGTCCTCAGGACTATTGTTTTCTGAGTGCTTATAAAGCTTTTTATCTTAGCGACTTAAAACTGTTAAATGTAGTTTGTTTAATAGAAGTCATTCATAACGCCTAGCTACTWAATGTCTTTTACTAATAATTCTGATTCAATGTGATGAAACATTGAAAATGAGAGAAAAAAATGTAAGTGCAACTACATTATGTGTAACAGATGTCCTAGCAAGTTTATGGAGATATATATTATAGTTTGATCATGTCNAAAAAAAAAAAAACCTGAGCCAACTCCATAAAAGGGAAAGACACCTTGTGAAAAGTCAGGATTGTCAGATGGTTGGAAGCCAGTGAAGAACTGTGATAAATCCAATGGATRAGATGAGTTCCTTTGAGAAAATGTGCATAAAATTGCAGTGCAAGTCAGAAATTGCTGTTAACAGCTGCATTCCAGCAATCCTTTCTAATRGTGCTGCTATTTAACTCTTCCTTTTTTACTTTATCATATTTAGTTTTATATTAAACACAGTCTTAATTCTGAATTGCCTCTAAAAGCAGCTTTGCTTTACATGTGAGCAAAAATAAAACCTRCATATTTTTGGGGAAATAAAACCAACAGAAAAACAAATCTTAACAAGCAAGGTCGTGCTGCAAAATTATAACCTAATTGGTTCACATATTGCTTATGTGTAAGATTTCAGTTAATTTAACYACACGAGAGACTTAACATGCCAGCAATGCTGTTATGGTCATTGGGAACAAAGATAATGAGATGCTGTTTATTTACCAAAACTTTTAACTCAAGATAAGTGGCAGATTCCCTTCCAAATACTCAGAAAATTCATTCGTTACTAAAGACAAAATAATTTTACATCTTTTTTTTCTACAAAATTCRGCACAGATGTTTTAATAAAACACAGAACTAAACTAGAAAGCCTACTATAAATAAGTATCTGGAAAACAGCTTGGCAGGGCAATGCAGCTGTTGGTTTCCTTTTTTCCTTTTCTGCTTTAATCTCAGTGGTTGAGAGGAGTCTGTCTCTTTTACCATGGCACTGGCAGCTGATGTTCAATTTTATGTAATTCGGTGTCTGCTTTTAACTGTGCAGAGATGCTCTTATGTAAAAGGAATYCTCATTCAGACAACTTAAAGATTAATTTATGCTGCTGGGATGAGGCATTGCATCTTTCTGCATAAATAGATTGTCTCAAAGGTAGGTATTTTTTAAGCCTAGACATAACTTCTAATGCAATATTGCTTATATTTGATGGTTACACTGTCACTGCTATACAGCAGTTTCACTAGAAGCAAAGCCTTAAGTAGGCCTCCAGAATCTATGCTACACTTTTGCAAAAACGAGSCCATTTGCAGACAATAGCTTCCTTTTGATTTTGCTATCTTGAATGTCACAAATTACTTGGGTTCTTGTTATTCCACCTGTTAGAAGTACAAATTGACACRACTTTGATGTAGGTCTTCAGTGACAGATGGACTCACATGAGCAATAAGTACTTTTTCTCAAGTGATAACCTTGCATCTCTTAAATAGAATTATTAAACCACTTAGCAGCTTRCCCCCTCATCATATGGACACTGGCACAAGCTGTGGAAGCTTCCTTCATCTCACACACACGCACACACATATGAAAAACCAAATAATAAGTTGCCAGAGCTGCATCTATCTCTTCAAATTATAGCTCTTCCAAATTAAATGCATGGTTCTTCACTCCACTTTGGGGAAACTCTTAGCTCACTCCTCTTGCAGCTCCCGATTGAAGTGATGTATGAGGGGTTTGTTGTGTAAATGCCCTCCTGTGCTGCCTGGCAGAAGTTACAGGCAGGAAGATTCGCGGTTTGCTGCTGGCTTTGAAGAGCCAGCTTGCTGAGCTGGAAAGCAAAGGAGGGAAAGCAAATACCTCTCCTACTGTTCCTTTCAAGCTAAACTCCTTCACTGAGTTTTGCTGTTGACAAAGAGATGGGTGTCAGGCTGTGAGATACTCTGGAATGGTTCCTGTTAGCCAAATCTCTCCCTCAGACTTCAGCACTGCATTAGCAGGAGAGGTGGGACAACCGGCAAAATTATTCCTGCCATAAACACGTCTCTGTGARCATCATCTCCCCATGTGGTCAGCAGCTGGACAACTGCCCCTGTTCCACTCAGAGCCCCTCTCTGAAGCTTCTGTGAAAGTATCTTGATGTGAGTGTTTAATGAGCGTCTGTTATTTCCTGCAACTTATTTGGCAGCTCCTTGATATTTTAGGGAAAATAGAGGCAAAGAAATTTGGCCTGATGAAAYAATTCACCTTTTTGAACCTCAAAAAATATGTTACATGCAAGAAATAGAGGAGGCGCTTACTTTCTAGAAACTTAGAAGTGATATAGGAGGGTTTGCTCACTGCTGTCTTGGACTAGGTGAAAACAGGACTCCAACAAAAAGCACATTATACAGAGGATATCCCATTTTCAGTGTTTTACTGCCTGGTTATTTATGGCTCTTTGTCTAACASATATTGCAATGTTCACAATTATTACACATTCTCAAAAAGCTCAGGCATAATTGTAGAGTACTGAACTAGATGATTATCAGTTTTCTTTCGCCCAAAATTAATATTTTATTACAATTTCCAAGTGCACCTGAGTGAGTCCATTATTCTTGATATTGTATAAACTGACATTTGAAGGCAAATTGTATTGACAGAACAAAATTACTCAACAAGAACCATCAAGGAGCAATTGTACATAGTGAAATTCAACTATGATTATAGTACTTCAATAATGAGAAAAATAACTTCCCCCCCCTGCCCAGTTAATGCATTTTTCTCTACTCTGAATTCCAGCACCTACACTGCTGTATTTGTTGTTAAATGAAAATTGCTAATCCTTTTTCAGTGAGTAACAAATTGATTCTTCTATTGCTTATGCATTTGCTGGGATACCTGAGCCAAATGGCTCTTCCAGTTTATTCTTTGCAGTCTCTCAGTGCTGTTTCACTGGAATGTTTAGCCTATAAACTCTACAGCTAATACATAATGGCATGTATTTTCTGARAATAGAAGTTCAAATGTAGATGGACTTTTCCCATTAGGCAGGCCGGAAGAAACGTATTTTGTGMAGGTTGATTAGGGTTTAGCTTGAGCTGTAAAACTGGGCTTAAACTCTGGGTGAGGGACATRATAAAAGGTTTTCATTCTTCACCCTTGCTAAACATTTCATTTCATGCTCAGATGGTCATGGTAAACAATTCCAAAAGTTTAAATCCTAGAGGTTCAGAGAAAAATTACTTGCATATGTGGTCATTTTTACGTAATATACACTACTATTGGATATTTTAGAAACCTGACTATAGAAAATTGAACATTTATTGTAACAAGATGTGAGTTGAAGAAAGTAGCTCTTCCTTACTACAGGAGCAGAAAGATATGAAGAGGARGGCAGGAGGAGCCTGACAGGTGCACACAGAAATGTATTTGTAAATAAGCCGCGCACAGCTTTTCTTAGTTTCAAGATTAGGGAGGGGGAAATCCAAAGTCCCTTTTTAGGCAGCCATAAAACAGTGCATGCAAAAGCAGAATCAGAATTGGTTCATTTTCCTGAGGTGGGAGACAGGAGAAACAGTTAACTTGAATAATGTTTAAATATTTTTGATCTG